CAGGGAGGTGATTGTGCCCCTGTACTCAGCACTGGTGAGGCCACAGCTTGAATACTGTGTTCGATTCTGGGTGCCTCAGTATGAAAGACATTGAGGCCCTATAGTGTGTCCAGAGAAGAGCAATGAGGCTAGTGAGGGGTTTGGAGGGCATATGGTATGAGGAGAGGATGAGGGAACTGGGTTGTTTAGACTGAAGAAGAAGGGGTTCAGGGGAGATATTGCTCTCTACAACTACCCAAAGGGAGGTTGTAAAGAGGCCAGTGTTGGTCTGTTCTCCCAACTAACTAGCAATAGGATGAGAGGTTTAAGTTTAATGGTTTAAGTTGTTTAAGTTGTACCAGGGGAGGTTCAGGGGAAGTTTAGGTTCGATATTAGGAAAAATTTCTTTATTGAAAGAGTGGTGAGGCATTGGAACAGGCTGCCTGGAGAGGTGGTAGCATCACGATCCCTGGAGGTGTTCAAGAAGTGTTTAGATGTGGCGCTTCAGGATATAGTTTAGTAGTTGTAGTAGTTGGGTTATGGTTGGACTTGATGGTCTAACTGATGCTGTGGTTCTATGATTCTACATGGACAATAATTTCCTGAAACTGCTCTACATTGTTTTCTGCTGGTGGTTTCTTCCACAAGCCTCCAATGTTGTATATCAACTGAAATTACAGAACTTGGGAGCTAGACTTCAAGCAACCACTTTTCACCTTTTAAGTTGACCAGTGTACCTCTTCCAAGCCTGTTTTTACTTTCACTTGTTTTTACATTTTTTACAACTAGGCTCTGAACCAGCTTAGTTACACTTCTGCTGTCTTTCCCTCTAGGCTGCAGTTGGTTTTCCTTTAGACTGTTAGTCTAAAATATTGGACCAAATATTTTATACTAACAGTAAGTGATCATGGCTTGCTCTGATAACAGAAATTGCTGAAATTTTGCCTCTAGATACAATGGAGCTAACTGTCCAAGAAGCGGACAAGTGACTTAAGTGGGAAGAAGTACCAAAAGGCCTCTTAAACTTCTGTAACTTTAAACTAGGCCTTTTGAGTGGCTGTTAGGAATAGCCTGGTGGGTATGTGTTGAAGAGTTTTACCTGTACTGTTCCCACTACCATCTGTGTCCTACTGACTGAGCTGCATGAAGGCCAAAGGGAGTGATCCCTCCTCTCCTTCTCAGATTTATTGCTTGTCACTGCTCCCAGAAAATTTCCTCTGATCATTGTTATAGCAACAAGCCTGTTGCTGCCTGCTGACATGTCATCATCTTCCTTGTGCACATCCATGCTATTTGTTCTACGCATCTGTTCAGACCAGGCCTGTTGTCGTATAAAAGAAACCAGATGGTGCAAAGCAGAACAAAGAAGATTAGTGAGCAAAGAGAGAATTACACCACTTTGTTTTTGTTGGTTTGCAGCCCAGATCCTGGTGGAGTGCTTGCATCTGTTCTTTTGGTATTTAGATTTCCCTCAGCTGACAGTAGGGCAACAAGCTTGGGTCACATCAACCGTGTGTTGCGCAGAAGGCTACAAACAACCTCTTCGTTCCTGAATGTTGACCTCTCTACCCTTAGAGTCACAGGCAAGTGCCTTAGGTTTGGGATTTTAGCTTGGCATTTGTTCCTCATACTTCACTGCTCTTACTGTAATGATCTTTATTTTAGTATGCAAATATGGGCTATTAGTATTTTCTTCTTTTGCCGTCTCAAAATTGTGTGTTACCGCTGACAGCCTGGGGTCTTGGAAGAAGTAGCATGAGAGGAACCAAAGCATTCTAGCACTGACTTAGGAATGTGAGCTTTCCTCAGTGCATCAGAGGCTTTTGCTAGGTGACCTAGCTCTGTTGAATGAGATAGGCTGCCCCAAAATTCATTAAAAAAAAATAAAAAGGCCAAGATTTGTGACTATGGGTTCACAGATTACTTTGAAAGGTATACAGTGAATTGGACAAGAACCTGTATCACCAGACACTGAAATGCAAAGTCCTCAAACTATTTAAAAAATGCCAGTTTGAGATGGTTCCCTTCACCACCCCCTGCCATTTCCTTTGCTTATTTAAAAAATTGCAGTAACAAGTGTTTATAACTAAACCTCAAAGTTCTCTAGGCAGAAATCCTCTTCTGTGAATCTGCAACTGCTTACCATCTTAGGAAAGAAATTGGTAACATTATGGTTTAGCTCCAGTCAATCTCAGCACTGAGGATTTGTGAAGACTAAAAATAGATGTGGTGCTTCAGAATGTGGTTGAAGCATGTGACTTAATAAACCCGGGTTAATGGTTGGTAGAGTGAGGTTAATGGTGGGACTCAATGTTCTTAAAGGTCTTTTCCAACTAGAACAATTTTGTAATTCTGTGACTGCCTTGCCACACTGAAACCAAACAAATGCATATAGGCATTTACATTGTGCACAGCTGTTACTTGGACCTATTTGCAGTCACCTGCTGTTTCTGTTAGCATTAAGCAAGAAAGATGTATCCTTTCACCTTACACTTTCAGTGAGCAACAGAGGCTTAATTGAACTCCAACAAAGCAAATTACTCCTTTTACCATACTGTCACTGAATGCAGCAATGCAAGCCATTTAACTTGTGTTTGCTAGGTACAGGGAGGGAGATTGTGCTAGATCATGTAGCAGTATGAGATGTACTCACTGTGGTGTTTGCTTTTCCTTTCAGGGTTGAAGAAGGAAAATGGGGAGAACCTTTTAAACAACTGTAAGTACAAATGTTTTGTAGAAAAGGTCCAGGGACATAGTACTATAATTTCTCTGTTTACAGGATACTTAGACTTTTGAGATGAAAAAGCCAGGGAAGTGCATGACCCAGGGAATACTGCAGCACATTTTCTTGCAGTCAGGCTGGCTCTTCAGTGTTTGCAGAATCAGATATTCTGACTTGGTGGCAAGAAGCACTTGCTTTAATGCTGGTTATGGGAACTAGGAACACACAGATGAACTGCTGTTTGTGCACTTTGCACAAGGTCTGCAGTTGCTGTGGGCCAAGACTCTTGCTGTAATCCTTCAAAATATATTTTCCCTCCTGCCCCTTCCTTTCTGCAGAAAGGTTTGGCAATAGCTTTCTGTCAGATCTGAGCCAAACTTTGCAATATACAGAGAAAGGCGTGGGAGAGGGGGAACAACTATCCACAGTGAGAGCAAGGCAGTGGCCCAGTCCTGTAGCAGGGCAAGTTCTCAGTCCCTTTCCTGTTCTGTGCACTCCTGCATGGTCTTAAACCTCCTCTGGTAACAAGGAGGACCAAGTCCCCTTCTAGGGGACTATATCAGTCTTCTGCAGAGTCGTGGAGCCTTGCATGTTAGCTTTCTATCTTCAAATGGGCTCTGAGAATTAAGTGGTTTGGATATAACTTTTTTCCAGCTGAGTAATACATCACTGTGCTGTTGGCACAGCCACTATAAATAAACTGTTGGAGGAAGAGGACACTATTTTTTCATTGTTGTTGTCAAGGTTGACCTGGAGGTAACCTGATGAAATTAGTTTGTGGGTTTTTTGGGTTTTGTTGGTTTTACTTTATTTTTTGCAAACCGTTCTTCAGGAATTCTGTGACACTTAAAGCTATACTGACTATGTTAGTCTTGCCTTTGTTCTACAGGTGGGATGTTACAAATAATGGGAAGATGGCCTCCACTGAATTCACAAGTGATGTGTAGCATCTGTTTTGTGCATATTTTGGTGGTAATGTGTGTATTAAAGCTTAGAGCCCTGGTGTGGTTGTTTATGTGGGAGTTCCTCAGTATTTTCCATTTTTAAGAAGTCTTAAAAGATAAAACAACACAACCCAAACAAACAAAAAATCAAAAGCAAACTAAGGATGTTCTTTTTTTATACAGTACCAAGAGAGGTTTAGTCTCTAAATGAAACCTACATGTCATTATTGTGAGAGCTATAAAAATGTAAATGTTTAGGTTAATTATCAGTGCATGTCTTTGTGCCTAATAATCTGTGTGTGTAACTGTATGCACAGACACACCAATGGCCTTTCCCTCTGTACAGCTGTGGTCATATATCAAACAAAGCAAAGTTTGTAGAGGCAATTTTTTTTTTTAACTAGGTAAACAGTTACAATTGGGGAAAATAAACAGTATCTCATATGTACAACTATACATACGGGCTTGTGTGTCTGAAAATTGGCTTGATGGAAAAGTAGTGACTCTTCAACCAAAATTATTTGTTTACCCCACACCTATCATGGGATGCTTGTAACCATGACACTTGGTTTCACTCCTTCTGGAGGCACTGCTTTCAGCAAAGACTGTCTCTTGACATCCCTGCCCTCTTACGCATGTGCCGGCAGTCATGTGGGCCTTTCCCAAAGCAACACTCTGATTTCCCTCAATCAGCTAAAGCAGAGCTGCCTTTTCTTTGACAGGCTGTGGGACACGAAGACAGGCGTTCTCCTTTGCAGGAGTAGAGAGAATAGTGGGTGGGCAGCGTGCGCGGGATGGGGAATGGCCGTGGCAGGCCAGTATTCAGCTCGATGGGATCCACCGCTGCGGTGCCTCGGTGATCAGTAATACCTGGCTAGTGACTGCAGCCCACTGCTTCAGAGGGTAAGTCATCAGTACCTGGCTGATCCTACAGGCCCTAGGACTCCTGGGCATGCTGACCTTTTGTGGGCCACTAACATCTGTACCTGTTGAGAGATAATGCAGTTTGGCTCTTCTCTGTCGTGTTAGGCAAACCTTTGGGGATCTTGTTTTGTGTGGCTGTGGCATAACCTCAAATATCTTACAGACGAAGAGATCCTCGGAGATGGACTGCCAGCTTTGGAATTCTACTGAGACCTCCAAAACAGAGAAGATTTGTCCGAAGAATTATCGTCCATGAAGAATACAGTGATTTTGTCCTTGATCATGAAAATGATGTGGCTGTTGTGCAACTTGCCTCTCCTATCGAGTTCACAAGTGATGTGCACAGTGTCTGTCTTCCTGAAGCATCTCACCATTTCCCAGACAACAGTTCCTGTTTTGTCACAGGCTGGGGAGCTATGGAGAATGATGGTGAGTGTCTCCTTATTCTCTCTTTGGTCATAAATGAGGCTTCAGTTAATCCAATGACTTAGGTGAGTTTCATTCAAATTAGTCCACATCAGTGAGTTTTAAGATGATGGGTCTGTAAATTTACTTATGAGAGCAATCAAATTATATTGATTGTGTTTCATGGTAGATTCTTGGGGTGTGCAGTGATTGCAGTTAACAAAGTGGGTCTTCCCAATGATATCAAGGACATATCTTGTATCTTATTGTTGAATTCAACACTGAAACATGTACAAGAATCCCTTTGGCCATTATGCTAAAGAGCTTCTGGTGAGGATGAAAGTTGGAGAAGGGAAAAACTGAAGGACTTTAGGGTGGGAGGGGATGTGAAACTTGTTTCTTCCTGAAACATTGTCCGGGTAGCTCCCTTCATTGCCTGTAATGGCAGACAATCTCTAGGAAAATTTAGCTACTCCTAATTCTTGAGTGCTTTAGGTTGCGTACCCTGTCTGCAAATTCTAATTGCCACTTCTCCTAGGCTATGGTGTCAATAACCTTCGACAAGCGGAAGTGAAAATTATAGGCACTTCGATTTGTAATAGAAGAGAAGTGTATGGTGGAGCCATATCACCTGGAATGTTGTGTGCTGGATACTTGGAGGGGCAGGTGGATGCCTGCCAGGTAAGTCTCTTCATAGGTAATAGTAATAGGGAAATAGGTGGGGTGGAAAGTCATTGTCATGGACGAATTAGGCTTATGTGGGGGGAGAAGTCAGGCTGTTCTCCACAGACATGTTTCCTAGAAACAGAATATACTTTGAGGAATCCTGATTAAGTTCATGGGGTTGAGTTTCCTGAAAGATGTAAATGGAGTTTTATAGCTCATGGGCTGAAGACTTCACTTAAGTGCTTGCTCTTTATATATAAAACACATGGGAGAGAATACAGATGTGAAGGTCTAGAGTGGGAGAGGCTGAATTAGACACAGGCTGTCAGCCTCTGTCTTGTCAGTAAACCGTGTGGAGGTTAAGTTATAGCTGTGGTCTAGAAACAAATCAGCTAGAGCAATTTGAGGCTTGCCACATTAGCGAAGTGAACACTGCTTACTTTGTTCCTGCCTGTTGACATTTTTCTTTTTAGGGTGACTCTGGTGGGCCACTGGTGCATGTGAACTCGAGAGGAATCTGGTATCTTGTGGGAATAGTGAGCTGGGGAGATGAATGTGGCAAGGAAAATAAACCAGGAGTGTACACACGAGTGACTTACTATCGAAACTGGATCTACGCCAAAACGGGCATTTGAAACCTGTGGAGGATAAAGTTTTGTGGGCTGTGTACAGCTATCCCTCTGACACATTCTGCTCTGTGGTTACCCTCTGAACATCTGCTGGCTTAGCTATGGTCATGTATCAAGTGCCAGCAAGCTCAGAGTAGTCTAGGACTTGAAATTGGTTTGGCCTACAGTTGGACAGGAACAGACATGATTCACAGGACAGCTGTTTTTTCAGGAAGTACTCTGTCAAAGGGACAACTGCCTTGGTCTGTGTGCAATATACTGACCCTTTCTTCTCTGTGGCCAAATGTCTTGGCCACTACTTTTGTATCCAGCCAAAGTCTTTAAGCCCAGTCATTTATCAGCATCTAAGATAAGTTATAACTGCATCATTCCAGTGGGCGTACTCACTCTAATGAAGAAAGGAAGATGGCTTATGGAAGTCCTGGTTCCCAGTATCATGTCAAGACTGTTACTTAAGTGAATAGAGAACTTTTCCTTGCTCTGTTGTCTTGAAAAAAGAATCAGTGGAAAACACCAGCGTCTGTCCACCTTCTTTGAAGAAGTGTATGTGCTCCCATTTATCACTTTGTATGAAGAGTCCTTACCACATCAATTGCTGTGAGAGTGATTGCTAGGCTTAAGACCAAAACCCACTTCATTTTCATACCAATCTGTTGTCATATTAGAGTATTTGGCTAAAATTAATTCCAATTTTTAACATTCCAGATTGTATTGTTCTAAATAAAAGTCCTTGGCTTTTTGTGCAGGATGGAGCATTATAATAGTATGACCACTGCAAAAAAACCACAACAAACAAACCTTCTTACACTGCTTATTCTTGTGAATAGTGTTTTCAAGTCTTTATAATTTGAATATGTAATTATAATTTATCTTCTTACAATTTATCTTCAGCTGCATCCGTAACAAAAAAAAAGATACCTGTCTCTTTCATAGCAGGGAAAAGCTTCTGACTGACCCAATAATCTTACTATGTCTCTTCTGACAGGAAGTAAGAATTGTCTGTCTTCATTGCCAGACCATAGCTAACTTGTTTCATCTCAACCACACAAACTCCTTATTCTCTCTGACTTCGTGTTTTCAGAAGCCCATGTTTCTCTCTGTCAGGTAGATCTCAAACATTTTCTACACCCCAACAGCAGAACATGCCTGTTCCTGGTAAGGATGCTTTCTTTGGTGTGTCTGCAGACTTTTTCAAACACTTTGTGTGGATGCTGATCCTCACAACAGCAAGTGCTGTGGTCTTAGTTGCTAGGTAATGTGCCACTCAATTGCTCTCTTTTCCCTCTATGGTCAGAGGAGAAAGAACCCAGCAAAGGAGATACCAGCCACACTACTAGGACTTGGACCTGGTGCAGTATGGCACGCAAGCAAGAATCTTATGCCAGACTAGAAAGGCAAACAGCAGACTTTCAGCATGCTCACAGTAAGAAGATCTGGGAGAAACAGGTCCTCAGTGATTACAGCCTTAGCATCAAAGTGTTGTCCAAATGTAGTACAAGTTGGTTGACATAGTCAACAGCAGTTCAGGGGATCCCCTCTGGACTACGCAGCTTGCTGCAAATGCTGTCAAAAAGAGCAGCAATCCATTGAACTAACAGAAGTATTTTTATTACAGTGCAGAGAACCATGCTTTTCTAGAGCCTAAATGGAGGTAGTGGAATATTTGTGTACCCAGAGAACAGTCTACATGAAAGACAAGGATCTGCAGCTATTATATGTTCTATACTTGAGTAAAGGAAACTTTTTTTTTTCTGAGGGGACTTTTCTTGTGGAATGTTGTGAGCTTCTAAAACAAAACTTGGTGGCTTAATTTCTACATAGGGACTAAATAGTGCCAGACTGGTTCTGTAAGTCTGTTGAATGCAACAAATCTCATTTTAGTCCCTTAAAAGGAACATGGCTTTGAAGTATCTTCTTTCTAAAGGAAGCTTAAAAATTATGAATGACAAGTATATATGATTTATTTTTCTTGCTGGTAGCAATCATCTTACCAGGGCAGTGAATAAAATTTCATCTTCATGAAGAAAAGCATCATTACAAAATGTCATGGATTTTCAGTTCCCAAAACACTTTAGGTTTAGGTTTTCAAAGGGCATAATGGTTTCCTTACCCTGCAGGATTTTATTGTAACTGGGAAACTTAAAATTTTTAGGCTTGCAAACCCCAGCTACCTCACTGGTTCCTCAAAACAGGTAAGTAGATGTCAAATAAATTTATGTTGCATCCATGAACTTTCCAGTTGTGCTTCTTTGGGGTACAAAATCAGAAAGCCTTAAGGATTTTGCTCTGTATCAAGGGCTGCACTAAGTACAATTCTCAAAACTAGTGCAGACAAGGCTGAAAAAGGGAGCTCATAATTTACTTAAGGAGCTACTAGTTCTGAGTATCTACTTGAGAGATACAGTACCTCATCCACCTTTATGTTGAGTGTCAGCACAGTACAGCCAGAAGTGGGACTGAAGACCTGTCATCTACATGGTGCTTGTTTTGGGAGCCTTTGCTTTTTACTGCCTTGTGGAGTTCTCCCGATAGCAGCTGGAACAAGCCTTCTGATCCAGTTTCTTCTGGAAGCAATATAGTTTACATGCCCTGAGACCTCTTGGTGATGCAAAGCAGTAGAAATGGGAACTGTCAAAAGGAAAGCTTGAAAGACCACCTTTCAATCCACTGGGAATGTGGTGCAGATGGACATGATGAGTCTGAATCCCTTCCTTGTGGCAAAACTACACTGATGTCAGCATGGTCTGGCTTTTCCTGAGAGAGATTTTGGAAACCTGAAGCAATGTTGTTGGCCAAAAACATTTTATTTTGTTTACGTGGCCTAGCAGATGGGTATTTCTTTTAAGCTGCCATCTCACCTATTTATGAAGCCACAAGCTTCATCATCTTTCTGCCATGTTTTCATAGGAATTAACCTCTTCACTCAAGGTGGAATGGGATGTATCTAACTCTACAAGCATGCATGACACAGGAATATAATTTATATGTAAATTAAATAAAACCTGATAAAATTTGCCTTCTGTTTCAAATAATTGTTTATTTCCTGTGTCACAGTACGCAATGGTAAGATAGGGACTCCTTTGTTTCAGAATGTGTTATACTGATCCCTTACCTTGTATTCATGTACTGGCTTTGATGTAGTCTTATTGACTTGTTAGAAGAGCAGAACGCCATCCAGACTTGGACAGAATTTACCTGTCTGACCAGAGGTTACCCAAATTTGTGGGCAGGCAAACAAGTCTTGTGTCAGCCACTAGAGGGTGAATAGCGTTGTATAAGAGGTCTTGGCTGCTGGTGATGCTGTTTCAGCTCAGTAGGGAGGATCTTGAGGACAACGCACTGTGGCTGTGTTGCCTTGAAGGATGCAGAGATGCTACACGATTGATTGTCTTGCAAAGTTTGAGGAGACTACAGCCATTCAGCTTTCAGGGCGGGCCTCTGCAGCACTGGGTGAGTGTCACGATCTGGTGTTCTGATACATGGCAATTTTTTTATGATCTTGCCGGGACAAAACAAAGATAACACAGTATTGGGTGCACAAAGAGGCACTGGGGCTGGTGTGTGGTCTTACGAGAGATTGGGCAGAACCCCCTTGCTTTCTAACACTCCTCACTGCAGTGGGAGGCTGGGGCTGGATCCTGCCTTCCCTTCCCTGGGATAAGTCACATGGCGTCTGCTCCCTTTGTTGTCTGGCAGGACCTGTGAGAAGGTTTAAAGGTGAAATTAAGACCAGATGTCAGGTGCACAACAAACTTTACTGGAGTAACAACAAAGTCCCTAGAGCAGATCAGACAGGAAGGAAAACAGAGACAGAAAAGAAAGGAGAAAGCAGAGATACAGAGGACAGCCAAGTAGTTTGGTGGGTTGCTGAAACATCTCTTTTAGTGCATCAGTAAATCTTGTTTAACTCTTACATGCCTCAAGACAGACAATAGATATCCTGAGTGCCTAAGTACATCCCTTATCTCTTGGATTGTTCGAGACAAACACTCTACATCCTGGATGTCACAGTGAGTTTCAGTCTTTTCCTCCATTAGTAAGTTCACATCAAATGTTCCCCTTTACATTAAGGACTGTGTGCTGTGGCTGTGAGCAAGGGGCTGAGTTTTGCCTGCTTCTCTGCCACACCACAGCCAGACCTTTGGCCTGTGGACCAGTAGACTGGAAAGGCACATTGTCAGGTATTATTGGCATCATGGGTCTATTTTCTGAGCTTGTCCACCTCCTTGCAGACGTGGTAGGGAAGAGCAGCATCAGTTTTGAGAATCTGATGGCACAGGAGGTTTGCAGAGGCATACAGCTGCTGTTTGCTTTGACCTCTCATTTTGACAGCTCTTGAGCATTCTTGTAGATCAAAGACACATATCAGATTTCTTCTTGTCCCTTTGCCATCAGAATAGGAAACTTGGTACAAATTGCACCATATTCTGAGCTAGAAGAAGCAAACTTTTAATGAATGAAACATGCTGGAGTTCATTGATCCTGGTCTATAATACGTAACACATAAAAAGATTGTCTTGGAATTTGAGATTATCTAAGAGGGTAAAAAGGAGTGCAACAGCTTTATTACAGTGTTACAGAACGTGCAGGTTGGTGATGGATGGGAAGGTGGCTCTGGAAGAACAGTCGCCCTTTTGTCACATTTTACTGGGTTAAGTGCAAGAAAGGGAGCCTTAGAGACAGACTTCTTAAAAGGCATCATTTTGACTTTTTTTTTTTTAATGGATTATACTGCTTTGTGCTGAGTTTCTGACAGAGCACATGCTGTGCATGTGACACTTAAAGCATTTTTGAGCATTCAGTAGCTAGTAACTGTGCCATGACCTAGGGATATGTTCAGCTAGTATGGTCATATCTGGCTGGGAGGAGCTATGTGGGCAGTTTCTCAGAACTTTTGAAGTGAAGAACTGAACAGAATAATAAATATCATGTTCTTCTGTACATGTGGTTGAACCAGAATCTTTCTTTAAACCATAGCTGTCAATATTTCAGCTTGCTTGGGGTCT